AAAGATGCTTATCTAAGGTTTTCCAATTGATCTTAAATGACCCAGATTTATGAAGAACTTTTAATTGATCATCTATGTCATAAATATGGGCATTAGCGACTTCACTAGCAAGGAAATCGGTTTGGGTAGGTGAAGTAGGAGGAGACTCAGTCTTAGGTTGATTAGGTGTATGAGGTGGAATTTCGTAGCAAGGTTGGTTAATTTGGTTCTTTTTTCTTAAAGAATGTAATTTAAGATCTATTAAATCTCGTTCTATTTCTAAGTCTCGTTCCTGGGTAGAGGAAGAGGTTGCAAACGAATTTCTAGCTGGCTCATGTCGCTTAGATGGGCTTGGTGTAGGTAGCTGTTGTAATTTAACTGCGGACTTAGGTGCATTACCAAAGTTAATTTTAACTGTACCATCTAAGTATTGCTGAATATAATCTAGATTATTCAAACTACGCTGGATAGGGGCAGGTTGGATTTCAGTGACTAAAGTCCATTCTTTAGGCAAACTAATCTCAGACCATTTAACAGTGTGTGGGATTCTTATGTTAGCATCAGGCGTACAGCTTTGTATGAGAAGTGTCTGATCTCTGGGACTTTTATTTAAGGCTTGGAAATTGATATTTGTACCTGTAACTTTATAATATATTCTATAGACTAATGCCAAAGGTTGTGTGCCAGGAAGAACATTATATCCAGAAGTCTTAATATTCAGGGTTAAAGTTTTAAGAATATGGGGATCATTTAAACTAACTGTGAAATCAGGATAACAGTCAAAATGTACAGGACCATTACATAGGCTAGATTCAATCATGCCAAGTACACTATCATTAAATTCAGTAAATCGTGCATCACGCAAGCATAACAATATAGAGGCTTGTAATCCTAATCTGGTTAAAGGCTTAACAGCTACTTGAACAAGACCAATATGTAAAAAATTATTACCATCATGCTTATGTTTCTTAATGGAGTCTAAATTAAGTAACTGACAAGACTCATGTTCTTTGCTTAGGGCATAAACTTGTTCTTAACATGTGTAGTTGAATTAAATGCAGATAAAGACCATTTTTTCTTATAAATATGTTGACTAGGAATTTTAGGTATAATCCAATCTCTAAAATCTAATTGTTCATTATCATTATTAGAATTATACTCAAATTGTTCTTCATTTACAATTTCAGGCATTCGGCTTATAGAGGTTCTAGAGCTGCTCGAACTACAAGAATTTGTTCTAATGAGGCGACTCATTTTACTCAAGTGTATGGATTGGAAGTATGAAGAAGAAGATAAATAGTTAATTCTTGACTTTACTATATATATATATATATATATATAAGGGTTTAGGAAAAAATTGGCTGCATTTAGGAAAAGATTAACCCACTAAAAGTCCAATCCAAAATCTGAAATACTCTGCTGCCCTTTCAATGACTTTTATGACTTGTTTGTGTCATTTTCCTTTATTTATACCTCACAAAATCTAAAAGTCCTCCATGTCATGTATGGTGATCTATGCTATCAGTCTTTTCATATCCACAAGTTTTTGACGCTGAGGTGGCAAAAACGTAGCCTTCACAAAAAGCCAACCACACAGATGATGATCAATCTATTGATTGGCTATAGCTTTCTTGTTGCAGTGCACGCAAATTGTTTTTCTTCCATTTCAACTGTTCACTAATATTTCTATTGGGGTCCATATACAAACGTACAATTTCCACTCGTAAGTTAGGGCCTACCTTATTAACATAATAATCTGAGTAGTCTCTCTCTCTCTTTCTCTCCTATAAAGCTACTGCCATTCACGCATACCAACTCTATTTTGTAACTCTCAATTACTTCTCTTGCTTGATAAGAATGACCATCTATTCCTATATATTTGTACTTAGTCTAAGGATGAATCGATAAGGCTGCCAGCTATATATAAGAAATGAATCGATAGCAGGAGGTGGCTCAGCTCATGCTGTGCGAATGCAAGATAAATAGATGATAATAAACTATAGATGACTTCTATATCTAAATGAAACCAAGTTGGGCATTGGTAATATTTATCCGTCAATTTGATTAGGAGTCTTAGAATGAGATAATTTAGGAGCTTTACTTCCTAATTAGTTTTTCTTTTTTGAGTCGGAATACTTCCTAATTAGGTTAGTAGACCAATCCCTCTACAATTAGGACTTCAATACTTTCCCTTATTGGGCGGTTGAAGAAGCGATTGTAGCATGTAAAATTGAGTGACAAGGTTTCCTATGAAATTATTGAGTTGTGTTAGAACAGTTTTGACATCTTAGAAATTGTTTTTTCTATGACATGGTTAAGGATGACAAGTGCGATATGGATGAAATTGAATCTTAAGCGTCTTTTTATTGTGAACCAGGACACGGCCTAGTTTAGAGCATATTATGACAGCATAATTTATGCAGTGACTAATTACACATATCTCCAACATATTTTCGTTGATGTTAATCAAACTGAGAAAAAGATAATCAATGTCATAATATCTATTAGGAAATACAAATTTATTCAGACAACTGAAATAACATTTTGAACCACATGACATATGCTTACTGCGCAGTTTCTATAACTACAAATTTTGAACAAATTACTTGTATCTTGTTCAAGTTTATTGACACCCCACAATTTAAACTGTCAGCAGATCTAGTTTAAAGACGAATTTGTTCGATGCTAGATTGAACATCGATCACATCGGAGCCATTAGCTTGTAAGGATTGCTTGTAGGTCATTTTCCACGATTTGCAGTTGGGTGAGAGTCATCCACAAACTCTGGTTCTGGGCTCACAAATGCATCCAATGAAGGTCCATGAAGCGTAGCCACTGAGATCCTCTTCACTTTGTAGTTTTCCACAACCACTCGGTGAACATGGCTCTTGTGGATTGATACATCAGATCCAAGGTATGAAATCTAACTGAAACTTTACTAGTTCATATTTTCTCTAATATTTTTGAGTTAGGATTATGTCGGCTTGTATTAGAGTTAATCCGATCAATTACGGAATTAATAGAAATCGAACCTTTCAGTTCATTTTTGTAGAGAAATAAGGAAGAAACTTTAACTGTCTTGTACATTAATTTTATTTTCTGGGTGCATTTTGCACTCCTGTTTGGGCCATGTTACAATTTAGTTCCCGTCTTTTAAAGAATGGCAGTTACTATTGATCATGTGAAATCAAGGTTGGATATGTGACGCTTATTGATCATGTGAAGTCAAGTTTGGATGTGTGCTCCTAACAAAATAAGACGTTCTTTTTAGTCAAGGGATATTCTTTTTAATCAAGTTATACATATGCATTATCTTGATGAGACAAAAGCAGTTGTATTCAACGCTAATTTACGACATTCCTTAGGAACTATCATTTCTCCCCCTGACGGAGGGAAAATTTTCACAACAATAGTCATCAAAATTTGGGAAAATAAACTCACCACCATTATTGAGTCAAATTGACTTACTTGGATAATATGGGAGTTGTGCTCGGAATTTCCATGACAAGAGACAAATATGTGACTATTTGTTATGCGCATCCAGTAAAATTGGGGAAGTGGTCCATAAATAAATCTTTTATAGGCTCACAAATATCTCGAATTATTTCAGAATAAAGGGCTCAAAGTCAATTTTTGACTGAGATGGTCTTATGACAGCTTTCCTTTGTGAGCATGGTTTGCAATGATATTCATTAGATAAAACGATATTTTGAGTTTTTAAACAATGTCCTTACAAATTTATACAAATCTTATGCATCATTGTGGACCATGGATTTCCAAAACTGCCTTAACATAATTTGGGTCAATGAACTTCTGGTTTCATGGCATCATGAGCTTCAACTACTTTAATGGTTGTGTAATACAACCCAAAAAAGCAAGTAGGAAGTTTCTCCAATAGACGTCTCTAGCTGTCAATATTGAGGGTAATGCAAAAACATTACCATTAACTAACAATCCAACATAAAGATAAAAAAAAAAATTACAATCTTGATTTTTAAAAAAAGGTTAATTACAGTTTAGTACCTTGTTGTTACACCCTTGAGACATGTTATTCCTTATCTTTTCAATTTTTAGAATAACATACAAAAGGAAAAAAAATGAAAACAAGTCATAAAAGTCATTGAAAGGGAAGCAAATCTTTCAGATTTTGGATTCGACTTTTAGTGGGTTAATCTTTTCCTAAACCCTTTTTATATTTTTTTTATACAAAAGGGTTTAGGAAAAGATTAACCCACTAAAAGTCGAATCCAAAATCTGAAAGATTTGCTGTCCTATCAATGACTTTTATGACTTGTTTTCGTTTTTTGTCCTTTATTTATACCTCACGAAATCTGAATGTCCTCCGTAGTGATCTATGCCACCA